GAGTTCAAGCCGGAGCGGTGGGAGACGCGGCAGGCGGGGTGGAATTCATCCCGTTTGGCGCGGGCGAGCGGAAATGTTTAGGACGTAAGCAATCGNTTCCCCCCCCCCCCCCCCCCCCCCCTCCTTCTTCTTTTCTATTGCCATCATTTCAAATCTCGATATGTCTGACTTCTGACTCTGCAGAGCAATTCGCCTTCACCGAGACCGGCTACGTTGTCGTGCGCATGTGCCAGCGCTTCGACCAGATCGAGAACATGGAGGAGGGCGACGGTCGGATCCGGCTGCACCATGCGATTGAGAATCGGAGCGGGACGGGCGTGCAGGTGAGGCTGCACGAGGTGGATTTCTAGGGAAAACAGATGAATAGAATGATATATATCGCGCGAGCAAAGCCAGTCACGGTTCGGATGTTAGGGTTAGGGCAGGGCTAGGTTGACAGGTGACCGTCACAGCAAGTAACCAGTGATGATTTCATCAGAGCGCAGGATGGTTATGCTAGGAAACTGAACTAAACGAAATGACATAGCTCATTAGTCTTGCAATGCTATTGTACATACATGGACACATAAACTAAATCCCAACTCCTTCTAGTCTATGACTACTTCTCCAAATCGACATGCTCGACCTGCTCCACCTGCCGCTTCGCCGCATCGACAATGGCCTCGTTCTCCGCCCGCAGGCGCGCACGCTCCTGCAGCTGCGTCTGAATCTCAGCCAGATACTGCGGATTCTTAGAGTCGCGAACGACGCGGAAGATGGAGGGCCGCTTGCCATCGCGGTCTGCGAAGAGCAGGTCGACGGCCTCAAGCGGCAAGCGGCTCGTCTCGGGGAAGCAGAAGTAGACGACGGGCAGGGTGACGAAGTTGATGACGGCGAAGACGATGTAGCTCTTGTAGCCGATGTTGGTGATCATGGGCGGGGTGATCTCGACGACCAGGAAGGTGAAGAGCCACTGCGAGACGACGGCAAGGGCGCCGCCGCGCAGGCGCAGCTTCAGCGGCAGCAGCTCGCTCGGGTAGATCCACATGTTGGACTGCCAGCCCAGAGTGAAGAAGGTCTGGAACAGGTACAGCACGACGGCAGCCGCGTAGCCCAGCCCCTTGGTGCCGATGCCGACGAAGATGGCGGACAGCAGCATGCAGGTGCCCATGCCCGCGGAGCCGATCATGAACAGCTTGCGGCGGCCGACGCGGTCGATGGCCCACCAGGGGATCAGGCTGCTGAGGAAGTAGAAGACCTGCAGCCCGCCGGACACCAGCAGGGCGTCGTGGCGGCTCATGCCGATCGAGTCCTGGAAGACGTACGGCCCCAGCGACGACATGACGTTGACGCCGGACATCTGCTGGAAGAAGTTGGCGGCGAAGCCGATGGCGACGCGGGTGAAGCCGCTGATGCCGCCGTCGCTGAAGACGTCGCTCCAGCTGCCGGCCTCCTCGGCCTCGACGGC